TCGCTAACAAGTATTAATAAGGCATTAACTTACTAACAATTCATTGAATAACGCGTGTCTTATGTTTAAATTGTTGCCAGGTGAATTTGATGTTGATTGGCCGGGTTCTTTCGAAAATTTCACATTTTCATCCTCAGGGCGTAATTTTTCCATTTACAGGTGAACTCCAAGACAAAATAAATATATTGTTGCCCGAAAGAAAAATACATGTTGATACCAATGGATTTTAAACGCATTTTAATACTTCAATGTATATATATATATATATATATATATATATATATATATATATATATATATATAGTCATCCACAGACAGACAGACTGCGGTATCACAGCTCATCAGTGTGACTAGCCGTCCTGTTGTATCTCGCTAGGATCGAAACCTGGCTAAATTGGTTTCAGTCGGATAACTACCCCAAGCCGTTGGCGCACGGTAGGGATGAAGGTGAATTTAAGCGTATTTATTGTTACATAAACACGCCAGAGATTGAGAGAACTCGATTCGTTTTATTGAAGGGTCTTGCATTAGTAGCAGTAATAGTCACTGTTTAGAAACTCACACTTTCTCCTCTGAGTGCTCAACCGAAATATTTTTTCCAGGAGCACATATATTGTCATCAACAGAGAGAAGTTTTAGCTGTATCACAGCTCATCACTGTGGTTAGACGTTTGGTTACTTCTAGCTAAGATTGAAAACAAGCCGAATTGACGTCAGTCGGAGAATCTACCCCTAAGTCGTTGCCGCACTGCAGGGATGAAAGTGAATTTAAGCGTATTTATTTTTAGAGAAACACGCCAGTGACGGAGAGAACACGATCCGTTTTATTGAAGACTAGTGCATTAGTAGCAGTAATAGTCACTGTTTTTATAATTATATATATATATATATATATATATATATATATATATATATATATATATATACAAAAATACACAAAAAAATCAATATACTCAGTATAATCAATGTGATCATAATTTTGATCAAAAATATGTTAGTTACTGAAAAGTATGTGAAAATTCGCATAGGTAAAGCCTAGGCTGATTTGAATAAAATGGACGTAATCTGGAAATCTGATTTACTAAAGAGATTATCCAAGCCACTCTAGAGGCAGTGTTAATTTATGGTGCCACAGTTAATGGAAATTAACTAAAACCCTAGAATCTAAACTTGATGGGACCTATATTCGGATGCTGGCAGCTATACGTAACATCTCCTGGAGGCAACATCCAACTAGATCACAGCTCTATGGACCCATCCCTGATATTTCTTCAATCTTACGCGAAAGCAGAATGCGCTTTGCTGGACAATACTGGCGAGTAAAACAATAACACGCGAGTGACCTTCTGCTCTGGACACCTAGCCATGGAGCGATACGAGTTGGTCGCCCAGCAACCCCCTACGTTGACCAGCTATGTTATGACACAGGATGCCGTTCTAGTGACCTTCCAACCTTGATGTCGGAACGTAATGATTGGCGTGAAAGACTCATGAATGTCCGAGATAGCTCTACCGAAAGCAATTTACTAAGACGAAAGGGAACAGAAAGTTCTTTAATCACTAGATCTGGAGGAGACGATCTCAGTATGCGGCACCTTTGGAAAGGGCCGGAAAAGCCATACTATGGGCTGATCCAAGCCTGGTGAGTGAAATTGCATAGACATAACCCTTTGGGTACAGTCAGTGATTGTGCTAGCACGAAGTCACAAGTCATCGTGACTGAGGGTTTGAGCGTGCAAGTCTTGTTCAGATTGTTGATGACGCTAGATAATGCGCTCTCTCCCATAAACTTTAAATAAGGGCAGTTCAGAATATCTACAGTATAAACCACAGGTGAAGCTAGTGTGCGATAATGTAATGGTGATTAGTTGGCCGCCGTAGACTGCAACAATTTACATTTTATCATATATATATATATATATATATATATATATATATATATATATATATATATATATATAATAAATATTTATCCTTAAAGTCTTAAATATAAAATGTAACTTGTGTTTAGAATAAAAAATTAGAATGATAAAATACAATAATCAAAGCAATCTCTTAAATTAAAGGAATGAATTAGTTTTAAAATGTCGACATAGAGGTAGATTTAAATAATTTCTTAATGCTTTATTATTTATATATATATATTCATTTAAGATTGAGACCAAGGTAGAGTGATTGGCAGATCTCCTATTTTTTTCTAAAAATTTAAAAGCTCGCCATGTTTAATCTTTATTTTCGTTACACATGTATTTGGGCACTTTTTAATACAACTATTGCCTGGTCTAATTCAACTTTGACCAAACTGTTTTACGTGTGTGTGAGTGTATATATATATATAAACTGATACGCATTAGTACTCAGAGAATATATGTGTGTGTCAGTGTGCTTGTATGAGTGTTTGTGTGCCATCGAAAGGAAAACATTGAGACAGTGGAGATATATATATATATATATATATATATATATATATATATATATATACACTCACACACACGCAACACACAATACAACTATTTCCTGGTGTAATTCAACTCTGACCAAACATTTTTTACAATTATATATATATATATATATATATATATATATATATATATATATATATATATATATATATATATATATATATATATAAACTGATATGCATTAGTACTCATAGAATATATATATATATATATATATGTGTGTGTGTGTGTGTGTGTGTGTGTGTGTGTTTGTATGTGTGTGACTGTGTGTTTGTGTGTTCCATCGAAAGTGAAAGATTGGGACAGTGGATATATATATAATTATATATATATATATATATATAATTATATATATATGCGCGCCTAAACACAAACACACACATATATATATATATATATATCTATATATATATATATATATATATATATATATATATATATATATATATATATATATATATATATATATATATATATATATATGTATATGTGTGTGGATATATAGCTTGAGAGTAACCAAAAAGAATGATTGTAACACAAAGGAACAAGTTTAGAAAAAAATCTCCCGAGCTTGCAGCGATGTGTCAAATGATCTTTCTAAAAGCTAACAAGTGCCCGTTTCTGAGAGGCCGATAAGCCGGGTTCCATTTCCTGATTGTCCGATAAGATAAGTCAGTCTGATAAAATCCACCTTACCCAGGTCTTGAGGAAGAACAACAGCACAAAAGGGAGAGTCATGCCATTGCTTGAAGACAAAAATAAATGGAAAAAAAAACAGAAAAATGAAAGTGAGAAAAAGGCAGTCGAAAAAAAAGAAACCGAAAAAAATAACGATGAGAGAGAAGGATGATAGAAAGAGAAGAGGAGAGAAAGGAAAACAATAATAAGAGAAGAAGAAAAAGAAGATGAAAGTGAAGAAAAGGTAGAATGAGGGAGCAAAAGAAAGGATGAGGAGGAGGAGGAGTCTATAAATGAAGAAGTAGGAGAGGGAGAGGGAGAGAAAAGGTGGGTGGGGTACAAAAGAAGACACAGAGAAAATAAGAAATGAAAAAAGAGGAAAGATCGAGTGAAGAAAATGAATAAGCAGAAATAGGAAAGAAAGAAAGAAAGAGAGAAGATTTACAGGTAAAAGGCGAGAAGTAAGAAAAGTTTAAGATGCTGTAGTAGCAGCAGTAGTAGTAGGAAGAAGAAGAAAAAGTGAAGAAGAAGAAAAGAAGAAGAGGTAGATGAATGTTAAGGGGAAAATAGTAGTAGTAGTAAGAAGATAGCGAGAAGAAGAAGAAGAAGAAGAAGAAGAAAGAAGAAGAAGAAGAAGAAGAAGAAGAAAGAAAGAAAAAAAATTAAAAAAAGGACGAACGATTGATCAAGGAAGAAGAAGAAAAAGACGAAGAAGAAGAAGAAAAAAGAAGAAGAAAAGAGAATTAAAAAAGGACGAACGATTGATCAAGGGAAGAAGAAGAAAAAGACGAAGAAGAAGAAGAAGAAAAAGAAGAAGAAAAGAGAATTAAAAAAGGACGAACGATTGACCAAGGGAAGAAGAAGAAAAAGACGAAGAAGAAGAAGAAAAAGAAGAAGAAAAGAGAATTAAAAAAGGACGAACGATTGATCAAGGGAAGAAGAAGAAGAAGAAGAAGAAGAAGAAGAGTTGGTGGGCTCAAAGAAGATATGAAGAAAAAAGGTGGAACGAGTATAATGATGGAACGATGTTAATGCATCAGAGAGAAAAAGAAGGAGGGATAAAAACAGAGAGAGAGAGAGAGAGAGAGAGAGAGAGAGAGAGAGAGAGAGAGAGAGATAAGAGGGTGCATAAATAGAACAGCAAGATAGAGAGAAAAAACCATGAAGCAGAAAAAGAAGATAATGAGAAGAAAGAGATAGAGAGTAAGACAAAAAAGAGACAGTCGTGAAAAGAGAAGAAGAAGTAGAAAAAGAAAAAAGAAGAAGAAAACCATATTAAGCTCGTTGCGCGAGGCAAATATTTCAATATGCCAATTGATCAATAACTGGGAAGCAAATGGACGGGACAGAGCAGAGTGGGGTGCAATCATGGCCGGTGATGGTGGTTCATCGATGCCTATCAGTCATGGAGTAATTGTACTGTTCAAAAATGATTTTTCAAAGAGATGCGAACCATCACTTGAAAGGTCGGAATAGACGTTGGGAGATCCTTGTCAGTGTTACCCAGTTCACATCGTTGCGATGCGATCAGAATTTGGACGGCGAAAGTCTCCGACATTACTTGCTCGTTGTTGATGCTTGTCTGCCTGTAATTGTTTATAACTGTGGTGATGCTTTTCTAAAAGTAGTGGTCAGTAGAGAGACATTGTTGATGAAGTTGGAATAAAGAAGGAGGAGGGAGAAAAAAAACTTTAAGTGATATAGAAAAGATTAATGAAAGAAAAGAGTACATGATAGAAATGTGAAATGAGGAAGAGAAGGTGTAGATAGAGTGTAAGGTAAAATGCAGAGGGGGTGAGAGAGAGAAAAGAGAAAGAGAGGTACGTTATAAAGAGGAGAGAATGAAAAAGAAAGATAGCATTAGGAAACGGAAAGAAGAGAAGATTGTATGAGAGATATAAGGAGAAAGAGGGAAAGAGTGAAATATAATGAAGTGGAGGTGAAGGGGGAGATATTGAAGGAGATGAAAAAGGAAGAAAGAAAAAAAGAGAATAGAATTAATGCTGCAAAAAGATGAAAAGAAAAATGCATGTGTGCTTTAGAAAGAATGAAAGAAAGAAAGAAAGACACAAAATAAAGAAAGAAAGAAAGAAAGAAAGAAAGAAAGAAAGAGAGGCATAAAAAATAAAGGAAGACAGAAACATAGAAAGAAAGAAAGAAAAAAGACACAAACTAAAAAAGAGATAAACAGAAGAAAAAAGAAAGAAAGGAAGAAAGAAAGAAAGACAGAGAAGAAAGAAAGAAAGAAAGACAGAGAAGAAAGAAAGAAAGAAAGAAACAGAAGAAAGAAAGACACTGAAAAAGGAAAGAAAAAGAAAGAAAGAAAGACACGGAAGAATAAAGAAAGAAAGAAAGAAAGAAAGAAAGAAAGAAAGAAAGACAGAAAGAAAGAAACAGAAGAAAGAAAAAATGACATTGAAAAAAGAAAGAAAAAAGAAAGAAAGAAAGAGAGACACAGAAAAATAAAGAAAGATAGAAAGAAAGAAACAGAGGAATGAAAGAAAGAAAGACACAAGAGAAAAAAGAAAGAAACAGAAGAAAGAAAGACACAGAAGAAAGACACAGAGAAATAGAAAAATGATGGTAATAGAAGGACAGAAAGAAGATGAAAAAGAAAGAAAAAAAGGAATAGAATGAATACAGCAGAAAGATGAAAGGAAAAGTAAACGTGTGCTCTAGAAAGAAAGAAAGGCACAAAATGAAGAAAGAGAGAAACAGAAGAAAGAAAGAAAGAAAGAAAGAAAGGAAGAAAGAAAGAGAGACAGAGAAGAAAGAAAGACATAAAAGAAAGAAAGAAAAAGAAAGAAAGAGAGACAGGAGAATAAAGAAAGAAAGATAGGAAGAAACAAAAGAAAGAAAGAAAGACACAAAAGAAAGAAAGAATAAAACAGAAGGAAGAAAGAAACAGAGAAACAGAAAGAAATGGTGAAGCAGTTTTCATGTCAAAAATAAAAGAAAGGAATAGAGGGATAACATGAAAAAAGAGAGACAAGGGTAAGGAGAGATGGAAAATTGCCGGACAGAAGGAGAACAAGGGGGAAAAGAGCACAATGATGAAAACAAAAGAAGAAGAAGAAGAAGAAGAAGAAGAAGAAGAAGAAGAAGAAGAAGAAGAAGAACAACAACAACAACAACAACAACAACGGAGGTAAGATAAAGCAGAAAAGAGGAAAGAGAAAGGTACGCGTAAAAGAAATGCAGATGTGATGGGGGGGGGAAGGAAAAAGTGAAGAAGACAAAGAGAGAGAGAGAGAGAGAGCGAGAGAGTAGAGGAAGGAGAACGCGATAAAAATGTAGAAAGAAAATGAGGTTGATTTGAAATCAGAAGTATGAAGTAATATTGCAAATGAAAGGCAAAATGGAGTAAATACTAAAGTATAAATAAAACCCTGTAAAATTTCTTCGTTATGTATTAGAACAAACTAGAAAAGAAAAAAAGAAAAACGAAAGCCTACCTCGTGGCTTAGTCAGGTAAAATTCTACCACCACATATACCACAGATGTTGTCCTTGCTTATTTATAAAGCGAGGATTCGAAATGTTATTTTTAAGGAAGTGAAACCAACTTCACTTCAAGTATCTTTCGCCTATTATTTCTTTTAAATTTTGCTTTGTTCTATAACAAGGTAGGCCTATTGAATTGTAAAGCAATAGAGAGGTTTTTTTTAAAGTTTTACCCCATGGCGTTGGTGGTTGGTGGGCAAATAGAAACAAATGCTGCTAGCGTGAATATCCTTCGTGTTTGAAAGAATGGCGTACATATAATCAGCCTACGGGGTGGGTGTCTTTATAACGAGGATAAACATACATTCGACTTAATAGATGGAAAGACGAAAAGAAGAAAAAGAAAGAAGGAAGGTAGGAAGGAAGGAAGGGGAGAAAAAGAGAAAGAAAGACTAACAACAAAGAGAAGGAATGAAAAAGGAAAGAAAGAGAGAAAGTAAAAGAAAAACGTCAATTAAATAAAGACAAAATAAAAGAAAAAAAGAATGAAAGCGAAAGAGAAAGAAATGAGAAGGAAAAAGAAAACGAAAAGAAAGAGTGAAAAAGAAAAAAGAAAAAGAATTAGAAGAAGAGAAAATTAAAAGAAGAAAAAGGAAAGAAAGAAAGAAAATAATGAATAAGAAAAAGAAAAACTAAACAGAAAGAAAGAGAATGAAAAAGAAAAGAGAAAGAAAGAGAGAAAGAACAAAGAAAAATAAAGAAAGGACGAAAGATATAAAAAAGAAAAAAGGACGAAAACGATCAAAAGAGAAAGGATGAACGAAAAAGAAAAAAAATGAATGAAAAATGTAAGAAAGAGAGAAAGGAAAAGAAATAATGCAATTAAAGAAAGACAAAATGTCAGAAAAAAGAATAAAGGAGAAAAAAGAAAAAGAAAACAGAATGAAAAAGAAAACAGAAAGAAAAAGAAAACAGAAAGAAAAAGAAAACAGAAAGAAAAAATGAATGAAAATGGAAGAAAAGAAAAGAGAGGAGACAAAGAAAAATGAAATAGAGAAAGAACAAAAGAAAAGACAAAAGAAAGAACAAAAAAGATCAAAAGAAAAAGAATGAAAAATAAAAAGAAAAAAACAGGAAAGAGAAATAATGAAAAAAGAAAAGAAAAAACTTGAGAGAAGTCGTAAGTAATTACGGCAAAGTTAATGAAGAAGAGAAAAATAAATTAAAGAAAGGAAGAAAGAAAAAATTAAGGAAGGAAAGAAAAGAATGAAATGCGAAAGAAAAAAGTGGAAAGGAAGATATGGAGAAGGAAAAATGAAGAAAGATAAAAAGATAAAAGAAGCGGGAGAAAAAAATGGAGGGAGAAAAAAATGGAGGGAGAAAAAAGTAAATTTAAAAGAAATTAGAACAAATAAAGAAAGAATGAAAACAGTAAAAGAAAAAATACAAAAAACAACCAGAAATAACAAAAAGTAGTAATTACAAAATTAAAAATAAAAAACTGGAAGAAAAAACTTAAAACAAAATGAAGTAGAATGAAGAATATGAAAAAAAAAAAAAAGAAATAAAGAAGGGAGCCATCAAGATGACAAGAAGTAAAGTAAAGAACGAAAAAAGAAGGAATAAAGAAAAAGAAAGTTAGAAAAAAGGAAAGGAAAGAATGGCTAAAGAGTAAAAAAAAAAAGAAAAGAAAGAAAGCTTGAAAGGAGGGGAAAAAAAGAAGAATGAATAGAAGTAAGAGGGAAAGTAAAGAAAGAAAAAGGAAAGAGGAAAAAAGAGGAAGATGGAACTGAAAGATGCGGCTGAGTCTACGATAGTAAAAATAAAAGATCAAACATGCCGCCAATAGAACCAGAAAGAAATGAAGGTCAAGAATTCTAAAGAAATCCGAACTGAATGATTGAAAAGAATAATAAAACATGAAACAGAAAAATCTGTGATCGAAAGATAAAAAGCCGATGATGATTGACTTGATTAGATCGATAGAATAAAGGCAGTTCGATGACGCTCTCTCTCCCGTGTTGACGCTGATAGCTGTCCGGTCGTCGTCGATAGTAATAATGAATAAGTATTTTTTTTTCTTTTGTTGCTTTTGCTACTAACTGGTTATTCTGACCTTGATAACTATTAATCTTTGGTAGTTCCGTATATATTTACTGAACTGAACCTAGTCTGGCACAAGTATAGAGCACCCAGAATCCAATAGCCTACTTGTAAGCTGCAAAGTTAGCTTACACTCCTAATGTATGTAAGTTCCGTTTAACCCATTAAGCCCTGTAAGTTCCGTTTAACCCATTAAGCCCTGTAAGTTCCGTTTAACCCATTAAGCCCTGTAAGTTCCGTTTAACCGAGTAAGCCCTGACCACAGCTTTACCGGTGATAAGTAAAATGGCGTAATGCCCAGCCACGGCTTGAACAGTGGGAAAACACTTGTAACTATTTTTATATCTACATACCAATTATTAGCGAATTTTGACTCAGAAGCTGTGTCAAAATTCGCAAATAAGTGGTATGTAGATATAAAAATAGAAGGGTTACAATTGTTCAGGAACGAAAGGGTTAAGCAAACCACTTTTAGGTATTGACACGGGCGACACTAAGATTTACTCTTGTCTCAACAGTAAATCTGGTAAAGATTTAAAGCTGGCCGTTGGTCAAGAAAACGGCCTTCAATCTGTAGTTGACTGGGACGCGAAAAGCTTGTAAATTTTAATGCATCCAAAACGAAACTGCTGTATTTTACTCATCACAGCGAAATTTCCCGGCCTCATATCAACACAGCTGATGCTCATCTCAACGAGAGCGCATCAATGCGTCTTCTTGGTCTCACGTTCTCCACTGACCTGAGTTGGAACAAATACTTTTAATCAATAGGTGCATCTACCGCAAGGAAAGTTGGTTCTCTGTGTCGAACCAGAAGGATTTTCACGTTTGAGTCCATCGTTCACATCTACAAATCTACCATGAAATTGTGGATAAATGAAATGCTTCAAAAATGCATCATCCTAACCAACCATTCTTTTAATATATCGGAACAGGTGATTAAAAAAATGGGTTGCGCCCGACAATATACAACGTGAAATGCGATGAATTGACAAGGATGGATTTCCACAACCGATACCTAAAGCCGAGCTCCATGAAAGAAATACTGTGCGTGTAGTGAGATTGTGTTAGTATTTTTCATTTAGAGTTCTTTAGACATAACGAAGTGCTAAATGCACATTTATGAATTGATCAGCTGCAACATGTCCATAAATGTTTGGTGGATAAGGGCCCTGCGCTCGTCAATAGAAAATTTTGTATTCCTCCATGAAAAAACGTAGCCATTTCTATCTATCTATCTATCTATCTATCTATCTATCTATCTATCTATCTATCTGTGTGTGTGTGTGGAAAACATTTTGGTAATCGGTTGGTTTGTTCAATACCCACCTGCCATTCTCAACAACCGATTATTTCGTTTTTCGAACGCTTTGATTGCGAAAAAAATTTATCTAAAACCAGGTTCAAGAATTTGTCGAAAACTCTTTCACATGAGATTCTGCGGCATTTTATTCAAAAGGTATCCAAGCGTCGCCTGATAATTGGCAACAAGTCGTTGCAATACCTATTAATATATAATGGTATAAAAGGTACTTCATTTTTTGAAGAAAAAAGTTGTCGAACAAAAAGATATTATCTATGACAGTACTTCTCAAAATGTCGTATGCATACTGGTGGCGGTACGCCAGCCATCATCTGCCGGTACGCGGATAGGTTCCAGGAAACAAAGAAACAGTAGTCACATTCCACACCACGAGAGACTGTTCTGTTCACTGTTTTCTTGGCCTAAGTCTAGATGATTAAAAGTGTCTGGCACAAGGCCAGACTTGGATGTGACAATTAAGCATCTGATACATTACATGAAGAAGTCAGTCTTTGAACCTAACTTGATAAAGCGGACACGCATAATATATTTTGTTCAGTTTAGTTTAGGCAGATGAATTGAATGAGTTGTATTTTACGACTTTAAAACCAGAAATAATTTTATATTAGTTGAATTTTTTTCTTTTTGAAATAATGTTTTTCTGACACAAATCTTACTAATTAACCCTTAGGTGCGGGAGAAGAGGTGGATCCATATATAGGCATGGCTATTTGTGCATAAGTGAATATAACGAACCCGAGTGGAATTCGAACTCGGCTCTCCGATTTCGAGCCGTTATCCATTATACGACCCGCACATCCAGCCTGACAGAAGCTGGTTTTCCCAACTGGTCTTTAGGCTGGTGTAGGTTAAAAAAAAGCGAGGCTTTCCTTAAGAGTAAGTATTTAAAGAAAGCTTGGCGAATTTAACACGCACAAGGCGTATTTAAGGAAATAGATGCAACTGGAAATATCGAGTATCATACTTTACTTCAGTAAATGGAGGTAAGAACTAGCGCCCCCACCAAAAAAAAATGGCAAGATTGGAAGTTATTAGATAATGAATGTGATATAATGAACTGCAAAATATTGAACCGAAATATGTAGGCAACAGCATTTTCATGGGCATATATTTCTTATTTGTTCTTTAAAAAATTCGCCTAAGTGTGGAACAAAGAAAATTATAGCCAAATGGATTTTAGACCAAATTTTTAAATTAGCATTTAATTACTTAGATTTATAACCTGTGTACTATGAATATACTACCAATATTCAAATAATATTTTTGGGGGTCATTATTATATATTATATGGCACGAATTCCACTTCCGGTGCCTGGCACACTGGGAAGTCTTGTTACGTCAATGATGACTGGCATTAGACTGAATAAGACACCATGGCTTCCTGTTTAGTACAGTCTCAAAATGATCATGAAACAGGACATAACTTTTAAAAAAGATTGAGGTGGAAGTTCCAAAGCGCAATCCATGAGACTCTAAAGCCAGACCCCCGTACATTAAAAAAAAAAAAAAGAAATCCGGCACGCCACATCAGAAAGGTTTAGAAACAGTGATCTATGACACAGCTTAATATGTACGTAGACATTTAACGCTTTGTAAAACAATGAAGGTTGGTAGCCCAGAAGGAAACAGCGAGTGACCTACAAATGAGTTTGTCTGAAGCGAGGACAAAGATGGATTGTAGGCTCAAATATTGCTTAGATTTAGTATAGTCGGGAAATTGTGGAGAGCCATGACTGCCTATGTTCTGAATATACACGACACATGAGTTGATTTCTCTTGTTTTCATACAAGTTATTTCACGATTATTCAAGAATTGTCCATCAAACCAAACCTGAATTTTAGTATAAATTATTCAAACACCTCCCTGATCTTCTGAAAGGAGATTTTTTTAATATTTAGGATTTGGTTTTCCCGTCTAAAGTCGTCTCATTCTCTTTCGCTCCCAGTAATCCCCTTTCGTCTTGGGTGCATTATCGCCTTGCTTGGGTTTAGTGATAAAAATGTGGTTCTGATCCTCTCCACTTGAATTTATGGGTTAGCCAGCTCAATTGTATAGCGTTCACTTTTCTTTTTTACTGTCAGTCCTAATTTGGTTTACTCTACATAAAATCCCCTAATTTCTTTATTTGACCATCCACTATTTACAGAATTACAAGACTTCTTCATTATATTATCATCCAAGTGGTGGTCATCTGTAACAAACATTAGGTCACTCAGAGTCTGAAACTATTGATATTAGCGACAACAGTTGCTCAGAGATAATCAAGTTTTTTTTTAGTCTGTCAAAAGTAGTAGAGCAACCAGTAAGAATAATGTTTAGTAACAAGGCTTGAAAAAACTATTTTACTACGTGATTATTATAAATAATGTAACCGATAATCGGCGTGGAAAGTGAAATAGCGAAGCGAGTTCAATTTCCCGCTTCGTCAGTTGAGTTCATTTTCGCATAAATGTATTTGGGAAAGGCATGAAGCTGTCTGTTACCTTGAAGCCATGAGTGAAATAACGGCAGACCAAGCTATCTTTCACTGAATAGCAAGCAGAGTCTAAAAGAAGACAAAATCTGCATTCCAAATCGGGAGAATCGAACGAGTGACCATACGACTATCTTTTCTAAAAAAAGGCATGATAGTTCCTAACTAATTAGGAAAAGAAATCTGAAGAGACTGTCTACCTCCTGGGGGCACAGGGCATTAAAAAAATCTATTAATTAAATTATTGTCACAAACAAAGGCAATATACTGAGACTTGAACTAAGCCAATGTAGTGTTGTGCCAAAAGAAGTAGATAAACATCGCGCTGCAGTCGACCTTTAAATATTTATTAAACTTAGATGGTCAACGTAGTCGGGTATCCATTTAGAATCTAACCCGCTAACAAAAGCAAGTTTGAACTGATAACCATCTCTCTATGGTAGCCGGTCGATAGCCCCCACCTATCGTTCGGCTCACACTGCTTCCATGTTTATTGAAGAGGAGTAATAGCACTTTTTCGTTGTTTAGGATGTGGTTCAACGTTCCTTTCTTTTTTTTATTCCAAGTCCATAAAGATTTAACTGTCTTCACATTTTGATGATTAGATTAACCGGTAGCTGCAACTTTCCTTTATCAGAGTACGGAATTGGCAGTTTGATAGCTGCTGCTTCCGACTGGTCATTAGGAGCCCGAACATTTTGGTATCTCTTAGAGAGGCTGCTCTGATCAACAGTTGCATAATATCGGAGTATTTGTAGTACCATATCACGCACGGTTTGGCGTCCATGGATATATTTCCAGTCGACAACCTTGAGGCAACAGTAAATTCTTTTCTCAGCCACATTCTGGAGAGTTTGTATTGATATTGATAAAAGATAGTGATAATTATGCTGACCTTTTTCTTTTTCTCCTCCAAATAAACCCTCTTATGACAAAATCAATAAAAAGAAATGCGAGAAAACCAACAAGCAAACAAAAACAACCTACACAACTCTCCCTTTCTTTCTCCAATAATCGTGTCACCAAATATCTTTACAAATTGTGAAACGAATTTAAATTCTTCCATTGTTACATCTGAATTCTCTGTTCCAGGCTATCTTTCTCTCTGCCAAAAGATTCTGACATTCATATGCACGAGCTTGGTGTTTACATACGGCATAATCTTCCAATCGCAAGGAAATTATCACACGAGTCTCCTGTGCTTTCTTTATTACACTCAGTTAGCTATCTCTTTTTCCTTATGGTCCCCTTCTTCCCAGGACGGTAATATATTAGACAAAATATGCACGAGTATTGAAACGACTCTCTTCATCCATCTGCGAACACTTTTATGTTTGGTGATTTCAATGAGCATCATGTCAAGTGGTTTGAACATTCTAATTTAATGAGGTTCTTGTATTCAGACTTTTAATTTCTTCGTTGCTCAGTTTCTTACTCAAATTATGGATCTCCCTACTCGATTCCCAGATAAATCTGAGCAATATGCTTCTTTACTTGATGTGTTCCTTTATCTCTTCTCCAAGCTCTTGTAGAGCTTGGCAACTCACACTATACTATTTATTGATATTTCGTTCCAATCATCTATTAGACAAGAAACTCTTATTCCTACTACGTCTTTCCGTTACCAGCCTGCTGATTAGGATTCACTTTATGACTTTCTTCAAGATACCTCTTTCACAGATATTTTAAAATTTTGTCTTGAGTATTGCACCAGTGAGGTTTATTCAGGTGAGGTTTATTATAAAACTCGTCTATGTCGGCTGATCGAAGCCGACATAGACGAGTTTTATTCCTTCTTGAAAATAGCGGGTGAAACATCAGTCTTCTTCCTGGTTCACACTAGCATCATCTTCCTTAGGCTACCACAAGAATCATTGTTTCCGGCTATACCAGCGTGACAGTTCCAAGCACAACAGATGCTTGTTCGCGGCTTCACTTAATAAATGTAAAAGTATCTTCGAAAGAGCTAAATTTTTGCTTGCTGAGCGAATGAGGCATCGTATTTATCTAACAGCTTTCATTCTTACTCGCGGCTCTGCAATAGCTCATTAAAAAAGAATAAATTTTCTATTCTTGCTCACTTCAATCAATTTTAGGTGTTAATATGTTCTTCTAATAAAGCTGAATGTTTCGCCCGTAATTTCTCTAAAATCCAATTTTGATTCGAACAGACAACACTTGTCTAACTTTCCACATACAACAAAGTCTCTGTTGAGTGATATGCATATAACCTCTTCAAAGATTTCCGCTTTCATCTCGAACCTGGATCCCCACAAAGCAATGGACAATGTATGTTATCCCTGTCTTTAAGAACTGGCTCCTATCCTCTCTAAACTGTATAATAAATGCTCTGCTACATCTTGCTTTCCAGTTTGGTGGAATCCTCATCTGTTGTTCGCGTCTTTAAGAACTCAGGTGAACAGTCAGACACTTCTAACTATAAGCCTCCTACCTATTTTTGGTAAAGCACTAGATGCCCTAATCAATGCTGAGTTAGGTAAGC